CACTGTTGTAGAACGGGACTAACATTGGGGTTGGGGAGAAACTGAGTAAGATGGGTTCAATAATGCATACTGCACTGAAACAGAGGAGGGAGAAAACTGTTTAAAAGAGATGTGATTAGGTATTTCTGTCATGACAGGAGTCTAGAGCAATGGCTACATGGTGGAGTGGACCTGGGGGAGGGTTTGTAAAACAATGAAAGAATTTTTCTTTTCCTTTTCCAAGAGGGTATTGTTCTGGGGGGGAGCCTTAGGAGGGGAAAAATGTGCAACAATGAATGAGTGGAACTCCAAAGCCTCTGTAAATTTTTACTGAAATTAATAACAAATTTAAATTAAAAAAAAAAAAGAATTTAGAAAAAACAAAAAAAGACCTGGTAATCAACTTCCAAAAATCAGCAGTGTGACCCCTATAGAACACAAAATATTGTGTGAAATGTTGACTCATCCACTATGAACACATAATGAGGGGTTGTTTGCTAGAGAAGGACATAGTGTTTGACAATGTGGACAGCCAGCAAAAGCAAGGGAAAAACCTGATGGATTGAGAGAATGGCCATGACAACTAAATGAAACATGGCTACGTAAGGAACAGCGCTAACATGATAGAGGCTGAATTTCTCCTCTACCTGCTTCATAAAGTGGAACTCTTCCCAACTTGTTGTTGTGTGCCGTCAAGTTGCTTGTGACTCATAGTGACCCTATGTACAACAGCTCTGAAGCCTGCTCTGTCCTGAACCAGTTTCACCGACTCCAATACAACTATCCCTAATACCCTAGTTACTGTATCAGTACATATCATCCAGGGTCTTCCTCTCCTGTGCTGTCTTTCCACTCTTCAGAGCATGATGTCCTTCTCCAAGTATCGTCCCTCCTGGCCACATGCCCAAAGTTTGTGAGACCAAACTTCAAACTTCTAGCCTCCAAGGATAAACTTGGTTCCACCCTCTCCAAGACAGACCTATTTGTTTTCTTGGCAGTCCATGGCATGTTCAATACTCTTCCTCAGCATCACAACTCAAAGGCATCAAAATTCTTCTTCTATCATCCTTAGTCATTATCCAGCTCTCTGATACATAGCAAGTCTTGTGAAGACCATTGCCTGGGTCAGGTGCACCCTTGTCTCTAGACTGACACTGTTGCTTCTCAGTACTATGGAAAGGTCCCTGACAGAAGACTTACCTAACGCAATTCATCTTTTGATTTCCTGACTGCTGGTGCCAAGAGTGTTGATTTTGGAGCCAAGCAAGCTTTAACTTTTAACCATTTCAATCTCATCTCCGTCTGTCAGTCATGATGCTGCCAATTGGCCCAGTGGTGAGAATCTTTGTTTTCCTGAGTTGAACTTCAATCCATATTGAAGACTACAGTCCTTAACCTTCTGCAGCAAGTGATTCAGGTTCTCCTCAGTTTCAGCACAGCACGAAACAAACAGCTACATGGTCATACAAGCCACGCCATGTGTTCCTGCACTTATTTATACCAAACACTGGGGCCAATGATCATTGTAACTTGACTCATAGACTTTACTCACAATTTGGGGTTTATCAAGGAAACAGGTTAGGGAGCAGAGAAGACAAAGAATATCACACAATGCAAATCCAGGTTTAGTCCAGTGGTCCCAAGCCAGATTAACAATGCAAAACTCTTCAGTTAGTGAGTCAAGGTTCAGTTCAGCAGCACAAATGCACCTCTGGTTTCCCCAATCATCCAGAAAACTTTATCTCAGAGCAGTTATGAGCCAGCTTTTTCTTCAATCATCAAGCAAGCAAAACCTTTAACTGTGCCTTTATCTCCAGGTTTCCTCTGGTCATACCTTACCACAGTTTCTTCACAGCAGTGCCAGTCTCTTTACCCTCTACCACCATTTTCACAGTGTGGAAAGTGCTCTCTTATACTGGTACCACCGCAGTTGATGATTTGCAAGACCATGAGTCCACAGTTAGGGTAGCTTGAGACTATAATCCCAAAAGGGGCTAAAGCAATGGACAGAAATTTTCAAGGTTGCGGACACCACATGGCAATAGTCAAAGTAATGTTATTACCAGTCATTATTTCCTAGGCTTAAAAATAAAGGCCACATTTGGACTTTTCTGGTGTTTCCTGGGACATTCCAATAAAATATCCAAACAACACTGTGTCTCTTCCACCATCCAGTTCATTGACAGTGCATGGGTTTGCAAGCAGTCATCTGATATCTATTCACCTTGAACAACAGAAGGAAAGTGAGGAAAAGGATATTGAATGAACAGCTCATTGCCATGAGACCAGAAGAACTAGAGATGGTGCCAGTGATCAATTTTAAGAATCCAAATCAAAATGGGGAACATGTAGAACAGAATTTCAAATCATCACAGACTCTTGACTATCTGAAGCTATGTATTAGACGGACCCTTGAAGCCCTTAGATAATCTTTAAACCACAAATATGCCTTAAGTCTTTTAAAACTAAAGAACAGTTTAATTGGTTGTCTAGGCCATAGTTTTGCTACAAACCCAAAAGGTATGCCTCTCTGGTGATCTGAATCCACTAGCAGCATCTTAGGTGAAATGTGGGCAATCTCTTCCTATTTACAGCCTTAAAATATCCGTTGAAGAGTCTCAGCTAAGAGTTGTTTTCAACTCCATGGCAATCAGTTTGAGGGGTCTTGTGGGGTATTTAAATTAAAGGTCAAGCTTGGGCATTATGCTTTTAAGATCTACATGAGATCAAACTGACAACAGCAACTGGAAAGATAGGAACTTTAGAAGACAATGAGTAATGTGGCAGCAATGTCACAGAAAAGGAGGGAGAGAGTGGCAGGACAGCAGAAAGAACGTAATCAATGTCACTAAGTAATACAGAAACTGCTGAACAGGTGTATGTTTTGCTGCATATATTCTCAAAAATACTAAAATTCTTAAAATTAAGAATGAAAAACAAAATCTCAAATTAAGAGACTTTATATAAACGGAAAGATTTAATTTAAAAAAGCCAAAAAAATACTGCTTAATCAAATTTTATTTCAATGCATGAAAATATTCAGACTGATCAAAACGTTTTCTACTGTGATTTCTTACAATAAATACTTATAAAAAATTGATATAATCCAAACGTAATGCTACTAACTAACTCCTTCATGATACATCAGGATTTTCAAAAGCATTAGGTATTTAATAAATTGCAATATGACAATATAAAGCATAGAACTTCCATACTTAGGACAGCTTAATTAGCAACAAGCTATCAAATTAAAAAAAATATTTCATTTATATATTTGTTTTAAACTTTGCTTCCTAAATGTACTTAAAATTGAGGCTTCTTTCTTTCAAGTATTGAATTTCTAACATAAAATTACATTTTCTAAAAATCTTAACAACAAAAGCCATATAAACCACTCTACCACAAATTCATAAATAACAATTTAACTGAATTCTCCCTTTCTCAAACATCAACATTAAGACACTTCTGTATAGTTGGTAGTTTTATTAAAGGAAATTCTAATTCATTAATGCCAATTTAAAATGAGTCACCATTTTTGAAATTTCTTTCTATATAGTGTTCCTACTGCTTAAATCTGGTGCTAAACTACATCTGATACACTTTGGGCATGTTGCAAGCAGGGGCCAGTCCTTGGAGAGGGACATTATGCTCAGAAAGGTGGAGGGACAGAGCAGGAGGGGAAGAGCCTTGATGAGATGGATTGACTCAGTGTCTGGAGTAATGGGGGTAGGTGTGTCAGAGACAGTAAGGTTGGTTCAGGATAGAGCAGGGTTCAGAGTTGTTCATGGAGCCTCTATGACTCTCAAGTGACTCTACGGCATATAACAACAACAAAGTGAACAATGCAATGTACTATTTCAGGGGTTAAAGCAATCTATAATCTTAATTTATTAAATATCCAAAGAGTCAAAGTTCTACCAATGGAAATACAAGTCTAAAGGGGCCAAAATCATGTATTAGGAGAAAAGAAATGCACAGAATAATTATTTGACTGAATCAATTATTATTTACGCCTTCTCCAAGCTACAGGCACAATTTAAACTGGTATTAAATTACATTATTATAGTTGTATATGCTCAATGTTTAGCTTTGCTCAAGACCATAGAACTGCATTAAAAATAAATACTTTTCATATTGAAAATGGATGAAATGTAAGAGAAAAATACAATCTCTTATAAAGTACAGTTGTAAGATATTAAAAATCAACAAAAAGCTCTTCCCAACAATTGCTTAAAAGAAAAACAAATGCTGGATAGCTACTCTTAAAAAAGAAGAGATACATGTTATCCAAAAACAAGAATGAGACCTTGCAAATTTAAAAAGTATTAAGTTTTCTTTACCTTAAAAAAATAAATAAGTACACAGTAGGAATAGAGAGCTGATAACTCTTACTGACTGAATTTTACCAGAAAAATGGAAAGAATACAATGACTGGAACTCATGAAGGAAACAACTAATTAAAATGTAATTTACAAGTTTCCATGTCTATAACAAAATTTGCAAAAACACAGTATGTCAAGAACATAAAGGATGAATTTTCTCCTTTAGATTTATTAAAAAAAACCTATTAAACCTGTTTTAAAGTATGCCTTCCATTATGAAGCATGCTTGGACAACACAGAAGTATATATATGCTGGTATATGATGGAATTCTTTTTCTTATCAATGGCACATAATAACAACAACATCTCAAACAGGGGTCTCGCCTTTGTTACAACTAACTAATATTTTATTTCCCTCGTAAAAACATAAGATTTTACTGGTGGTGCATTTTTTAAAGATTAAAAAGCTCTCTTTAACATAATACTTGGAAGAGAACCTTCATTTTTTATTAATCTTTTTAGTACTGTGGCATGATGGGTTTAACAGCTTAAGTGCAATACAAGAACTAGATGGTATTTAAACTAATTCACAGCTACAGGAAAACGTTTGATTTGTAAAATGCAGCCATGATGACACGACATAGTTATGAACAGTTTAATACTAGAAGACAGTAAGAAGAATGAAAAATACGATGATTTTCAACAGTGACCATTCAGTATCTTGCTTTTAGAAACCTGGAAGAAATTATCTTCTCTGATTTTGACATGTTCTGGCAAATCTAGTCGTTTCTTAGCTTCCTCAATATCTCCTTGAATTGCGGAAATAAGTGACTCTGCAGAAAGAATATACAAAGTGACACAACTGAGTCAACAGCCTTAAGAAAAATATTAAATGACAGTCAAAAGTGAAAATCTTATGAGGATGATTAGAGTGAGTATAATTAAGTCCAACTTTCTATTATAAATAAATCCCTTTTAGGGACTATATATAATAAGGAACTCTAGTATGGCATTCAGCTGCTATCAAAAGGTCAGTACTTTGAAGATATCTATCTATCTATCTGGAGCTCTTTGGTGGTCTAGTGGTAAGGAGCTGTGCTGCAATCTCAAGGGCATGTAGTTCAAATCCTCTAGCTGTTCCATCTCTTCCCATGTGATTTACAGACTCTGAAAACCCACTAGAGGGTCAACTATGAGTTAAAACAATAGGATGCTCCGGTTCCGGCATGAGGTTGTTGTTAGGCAACTTCTAACTGATTTTAACTAAGAGCCACCCTATAAATAAAAGATGGAAACTTTGCTCTATCCTGTACCATCCTCATTCTTTCTGCCCCTCTCAAGTCCACTGCTGCAGCCGCTGCCATGTTAATCGCATTTCACTGAAGGTTTCTTCTCTTTAGCAGTGACCCTTTACCTTTCTCCTCATGATGTCTTCTTTCCAAGGATGGGGCCCTCCTGAAAACATACTCAAAGTCTGTGAGACGAGGTTTCACCATACTTGCCACCAAGGAGTACCCTGTGCAGGCTGGCTGCATCTCCTCCAACACAGATGTGTTCGTTCTTTGGCCATATAAGCAGTACTCTTCTCCAACACCACGATTCAAAAGCGTCGATTTTCACTGATTTCCTTATTCACTGCTTAACTTTCAGATGTGTATGAATTAACAGAAAACATCATATTTTGGCTGAGATTAGGTGAGAGATGATTAGGATGGCACAAGATAGGGCACAGTTCAGATCCATTGTTCATATGGTTACTCTGAGTCACAGTTAACTCGATGAAACCTTAGTATTTAAACTTGTATCTCTGCTACTGAGCATTTAAAAGGTCTAAAAACAGCAGATTTCCCAATGCAACAGATCTTGATTTTGACTGCTGTTACCATGAGTATTGATTCCAAAAAGTCTTTTTTCCCCCACCCCTTCCATATTTACATAAAAGTCAGTGGTACACACAAAAAAGTGCCTAATTTTTTTTCTCATAATTAACAAAATTGGAAGACATAAACTAATAGCCCTATCTATCCATCTCTGCATTTAAATTTGCTTTAAAAAAATGTTAAAACCTTTACAATAGACTCTGAATAGGCAACATCATGACAGATGAAGAAAAGATTAAAGTTGTCAATGATTTAACTTTTCTTAGATTCACAATCATCCTCCAAGGTAGAAATCAAAAGATATGTTGCATTGGGAAAACCTGCTGCCAGGGACCTCTCAAGAATACCAAAGACAAAATCACTTTATAGACTAAAGTGTGTGTCTAATCCAAACCATAGTCTTCTAAACTGACTACTATGCTCCTCTAAGTTAAGACAATGACTAAGGATGACAGAGGAAGACTTGATGCCTTTGAGCTGTGGTGTTGAAGAAGTATACTGAGTATCTCATGAACTGTCAAAAGAACCAACATGTCTGTCTTGGAGGAAGTGTAACCAGTGTTCCCTGGAGGCAAGGACAGTGAAACTCCATCACATATACTTTGGGCATGTTGTCAGTCCTTGGAAAGGTAGAGGGTCAGTGATGGAGCTGAAGACTCTCAACAAGATGGACTGACAAGTGACTTAATAGCGGGCTTAAGATCGTTAGGGATGGTTAGGATGGCACAAGATAGGGCAGCGTTCAGATCCATTGTTCACAGGGTCACTCTGAATCAGTCACCTTGATGGCACATAACACCACCACCACTATACTGACAAGTGAAAGCATTTATTTCAAACATTTTCTGGCATACTTTAAAGTATTTCCAAAGTATATATTATTTACCAGAGTATTCATTCTTGTTACTTAAAACATGAAAAAAAGTAAAGATTCCACTTACTGCTGGAGCAAAGCAGCACTACGTAAGGCGAAAGCAACACAAACTATAGGCTCTGAAGGTAGCTACCTGGACTCCATCACATACTGGTGTTGGGTAAATTACTTCTCTATGCGAATTTCCTCATCTACCTGATAGGACAAAACAGTTCCTATATCATGTATTTGTTCTAAAGACTAATCCAGTTAACTCATTTCTGCCAAGTCGAAAGCAACTCACAGCTGACCCTCCAGCAGGTTTTCAGAGGCTGTAAACGGAATGGGAGGTGACTGCGCATGTTTCTCCTACAGTGTGGTTGGCATATTTGAACAGGTAGAGAGGGGCCACTGTAGGGTTAGCTTGATTCCCTAGATTGAACCACCAGAGCTCCCTAATTTATGTAAAGCAATTAAAAACAAGGCTTGGCACATATTAAATATTCAAATTCTGTCCTGTCATCATTATTGATAGAAGTAGAGGCAGTTAATAGGCACAGTAGTAATATTGAGGAAGACTTGAATGAGAACTTACCCAAAGAATCGAAGTTCCTTTCTGGTCTCAGGTAGCCAACAATGGCCACATTGAGAATTTCCCCATAGAAGTCCTCTTTGAAGGTATGTATGATATGAGTTTCCTATAGTCAAGAAGAGTTACAAGGGGGAAAAAAGTTGAAAAGATGGGGGTAGATGGGAGAAAAAAACAACCTTAAGTTTTCTCTTACTCTCCTTTTCTGCTAACAGCTTGTTGTAAGGCTTGGCTTCACCCCTTTCCCTCTTCTCTCCAGGCCTCCTTTACCGCTTTTCTTTTTCTCTTTAACTCATGTGGTCTACCTTTCACTAGCTATGCCTCTGTCTTTATTACCTTAATAAATCTTCTTCACCGTGGCTTTTCTTTTTACCCTGTTGGAGAAGTTTTTTGATGTGCATAGGGATTTGATTCTTAGAAGGTCCCGTTCATCTATTTTATTCTCTCCTGGTTGCAGGATTTTCAAGATGTTCGGAAGACTGTTCATATTGTGGATTAGGCCTTCTAGAGTTCTTATAAGCTTTTCTCTGATTAAGTAATAGTCCTTGGTTTTACTACTGGTCCTTGGGACTGTGACCTTTACAAAGCTGACCTCCAGGCCCATCTTCCAAGAGGTCTATGGGTGGGTTTGAATGGTAAACCTTTCAGTTAGTTGAACACTTTAACTGTATAACCCACAAGCTCTGTAAAGATGTTTCTTCTTTCCAAATCTATCAAAAGATTCAGTGATCACCCAATCAAAATGCTACCAGGTTCTTAAACATTGAAACTCACAAATATAAAATTTATATGAAAATGTTGGAAGACCAGAACTACCCAAGACCTTCAACTAGTTTAAAATGGTTCAGTAAACACGATATATAGAGAGATATGTACTATACAACACCAAATCTGATGCCCTTGATCACTGTGATCTGATTTGGTAACACAAGATAGGTCAGGGTTCAGATTTGTTGTTCATAGGGTTGCTATGAATCATATTTGACTGGACAGCTCACAAGAAGAACAGGTAACAAGCAACTGTGCTATGCCCAAACATGGCAGCTGATTTTGTAATTCTGCATATGGGTCTCCAGAGCCCTGCCAGTAATTCAATCTCCTGTATCAGAATCCTAAAACTATGATGAGGGAGGATTACCGCGGAGAGCAACACTATTCAACACCACATAAGTGAGCCACCATCTTTATCTGTTTTCATCAAGTATCAAAATAACAACATCAGTGACCATTGTGAATCCTGAAAATTTCAAAACCTTAGAACTATTCAAGTACATCTAGAAAACAAGACTAGATGACCCATATCATCAAATATCAATACTCATTACCATTCTGACCCTATTATAAGATATGATGCTATTATAAGGAGCTCAGGTGGCCTAGAGGCAAGAAGCTGGCTGCAAGCAGCTGAAGCACCCTGAAAGCACGTGGTCTGAATCCACCAGCTCTTTGCAGAAAGATGGGCAATCTCTTCCCATGGGATTAACTGCCTCTAAAAACCCGCCAGAGGGTCAGCTGTGGGTCAGTTCCAACATGAATGTACACAACAATTCTAAGACTGTGACATTTATAAGAGACACAAATGGCCTGCACTTGATTCCTAATCTAAAGACTGGCAGTTCAAATCCAAGCAGCTGTGTCACAGAAGAAAAGCATGGCAATCTGTGCCTACAGATTACAGCCCTACGCAGGAAGAAGACCCTCTGCAGCAGTTCTAGTCTGTAACACAGGAGTCAGTCAATTCACACCAAGTTATTTGGTGTTGAGTTTATAAAACAAGAAATTTGACCTCATCTACAGACAGATCTAGAGCCTCTGGTGGCACAGTGTTAAATCAACTGGCTCCTGACTAACTGGCTTGCAATTTGAACTCATGAGACAAGAAAGTCTGCTTTATGATTTATGGCTATGGAAACCCTCTGGGACAATATTACTCTATCCTCCATGGTCACTGTGAGTTTCCCTTCAAGGGCAGTGTGGGTTGGGCCACTAAGCCTAATGTGGAGGCTGTTCACATGGGAAAGATTAACTGAAGGGGGCCTAGAGGATTGGGCTCAAGAGTCACATGATAGCAGTGCTATCAGCTCAGCTCAGGGAAGAGGAAGGGCTGGTGAGCAAGCAGCAGATCAATCTCAGTAAGCACTCCAGTGATCTTCCAGAAAGGTAACAATCGCTAGGGATGGAGACTTGGCATCGGTAGGTCTACGACACATCAAACTAGGCATCTCTTCTTATGGCTAATTCTCACCTCACTCTTTCCCCGTAATATATGTGACTACACATTTTATTATTTTTCATTAAGTTCTGAGTCTTTCCAGCAAATCATCAAATATGAGATGGTGGGGAGCCCCAAGTTTCTAGTCACCTTGTCTGAGGTGAGGGCTGAGAATGCAGTTAGTCCATCACACCTGCTATTCATAAGGTCGATAGGAGTTGTCAACTAGATTGCAAAAATTAAGAATTTTTGCTCTTCCAAAAGAAAAATTCAGAATTTAAAAAAATAATAGAAATTATGATACAGAGAGAAAATATATAGTTCCAGCAAAGGAACTGGATGTAAAATACACTAAAGATGTTTCTAAATCAGTAAGTCAGACAACTCACTCTTTGATAAAGGGCAAAAGCTTGAACAGGCATTTCATAAACATCTGTTGCTGGAAAATAAGGGCAAAAAGAAAAATCTGAAATATGAACCCCATTCTATTAACTTTTTCTTTCCCATCCAAAAAAAAAAAGTATTATTAATTCTTTTCCTTTTCATATTGCTTCTACCAGCACTTTGCGCTAACATTTTTCATTTTGTCTATGAACTCTTAAAAGAGAGTAACATGAAGATAAATGTCTAAGTGCTTTTTTTTTTCTTCCCCCCCCCAGTCTCTAGGCAACATAAACAAAATTTGTTTGGCTGAAGGAGTGACAGTTGGAACTCATATCCTAAGCACATTATGGCGTGTACTAACAAGAGTAACAGAGAAATGTCTATCTGTGTCTGACTATGCAAAGGCATTTGACTATGTGGACCACAACAAATTGTGGCTAATCTTGAGGAAAATGGGAATCCCCAGAACACTTGACTGTGCTTATGCGAAAACTATACTTGGATCAGGAAGTAGTTCTCAGAATGGAGCAAGGAAACACTGTATGGTTCAAAATCAGGAAAGAAGTGTGTGTCAGGGATGCATCCTGTCCCCATACCTTTTCAATCTACGTGCAGAACAAATTATTTGGGAAGTAAAGCTTTATGAGGAGGAGTGTGGCATCAGGAGGAAGACTCATCATCAACCTATGTTATGTCGATGACACAACATTTCTTGCTGAAACTGGAGAGGACTTGAAGTGCTTGCTGCCAAAGGTCAAAGACTGATGTATTGAAGGTCTTCAATATGGATTGAAGCTCAATATGAAGATGACAAAGATTCTCATCCCTGGGTCAATTGGTAGCACCATGATAGATGGAGAAAAGATTGAGGTTGTTTACAATTACAGCTTACTCAGCTCCACAATCAACACTCTTGGCACCAGAAGTCAGGAAATCAAAAGACAAATTACACTGGGAAAATCTGCTGTCAGGGACCTCTCCAGAGTACTGAAAAGCAATGATGTCAGGCTAGAGACCAAGGTGCGCCTGACCCAGGCCATGATCTTCACAATTACTTGCTATGTATCACAGAAGTGGGCAATGACTAAGGATAACAGAAGAAGAATCGATGCCTTTGAGTTGTGGTGCTGGAGAAGTCTTGAACAAACCACGGACTGCCAAGAAAACAAACAGGTCTGTGTTGGAGAGAATAAACCCAAGTCTCTCCTTGGAGACTAAGATTTTTAAGCTCTTTCTCACATAATTAGGGCACAAAACCAGGAGGGACTGACCCTTGGAGAAGGACATCATGCTTGGAAGGGTGGAGGGATACTGTAAAAGAGGAAGACCCTGTATAAGACAGATGTAGTAACTGGGGCAACAGGGGTAGTTGGGTCGTAACCAGTGAGGCTGGCTCAGGACAGGGGAGGCTTCATAGGAGCTGTACATGGGGTAGCTATGAGTTGTAGGCAACTTGATAGCACTTAACAACTAAAAAAAGCAGTAGCTAAAAACACTTCCACTTTGTAGGTGTAGCGGAGAGCAGGAAAATAAGGCAAAAGATTATACCCTCAAGGCTCTATTAAGATAAAACAAAGCAAATGAGCCCAAACCAACCAAGAAATACTGCATGTGAACAAAGCCTTGCCATTTTATCAGAAAACCACATCTTTGCAGTAAACACATCCTTAAAGGGTTACCAAATAACTAATGGTGAATAAATTACATTAACTAGAAAGTACAATTTTACAAAATAAGCTTCTAAATATGAACTACATTATAAACACCACAGAATAAATCTATGTGCACCTAAGAGTAAAAACCCCAAGTCTATTATGGACTCCAACTCAGAGTGATGATACAGGTCAGAACTGCCTGCCGTATAGGGTTTCTAAGGCAAACTTCAGGAGAACAAACTGCCACAACATTTTTCTTTATTCTAGAGTGGCTGGGGGATGTGAATCACTGACCATCTGGTTATTAGCCAAGCACTTTAATCACTGTGCCACTAGAACTCCTGCTGTGCCCCAAATTGACCTCATTTTAGAATGCAGAGGGAAACATAATTCTTACCATGGACTTTTTGGTATTCTTGTAGTAAGGATTCCAGCCTATGCTCACCACCATCTTATGGACAGCTCCACATCCAACACTGGCCCAGCCATAATAAATACCAGTGGATACATCAGTGGGAAGATTATCTACCACATGTTCAGGAAAGTTAGCTAAAGAACAAAAACAAATAGTTAAGAGATTTTTCTTTGTTTTCTAACATAACTACTGCTATTTACTAGGTCCAGCCAATTCGATTGCAATACATAGTAATACTAAGTACAACAGAATGAAGCACTGCCCTGCCTCCTACCATCCTCACAATAGTTTCTGTATGTGAGTCCATTATTGCAACCACTGTGTCAATCTATCTCCTTGAAGGTTTAGGTAATGCTGTACTGTACCAACCACGATGGCCTCTTCAAGAAACTGGTCCCTTCTGATAACATGTCCAAAGACATATTGGCACACATGGGTACAAATCTGGCTATATCCCAGTTGGTTTGTAAAATAAATTGACATAGATGAACACCTCCAGAACTGCATTTTATTGTTGTTGTTGAGATATGTCAATTTAGTATGCTGTCAATTTTTGTATCTAGGTTTTCAGGATTCAGGTTTTTTGCCAATGTCTTCAGTAAAGCTTGGACTATTTCCTTCAATATCACCACTTCTTGAACTTATTATGTTATTTCTAAAACTCAAATAAAAAGCTGTCACTAAACAGATCACCCATCCCATTTTTCTAGATACAACTTAATTCTCTTCAAATTGACAAGTTAACAAAGTACATTGACTATAGTGTCTGCCAAACCTAAATTTAAAAAACAAAAAAAACCCACCACAAAAAAACCCCAACCAAATAAAAAACCCCACAGTCAGGGTTAAGTGGCCTAGGTAAAGGGTTCGAGTTTACCAGCTGTTCCTTTGAGAAAAAGATGGGTAATCTCTCCTGTGATTTCCAGCCTCTGGAAACCTGCTGGTGGGTCACATGTGACTAGTTGCAACTGGACAACAAAGAGTTTAATTTTTGGGGGGTAAGATGAGAACGGCTGGGCTTTAGACGTGTGCTGTGCTTAAGTTACGTATCATTTAAAAAGATCATTTAATAAGTACATGCCTGAGCCCCTGACTGACTTAACAGGTAAAAGGGCAACCGTAGTATATATTTTGCTTTCCCCCAAAATAACCTCAAGGTGCAAGCCTGTAATCCATGTTACCAGGTTCTTCTGAAACAGGAATCCTAACTCTTGAGGCATTTTTATTTCCAAGGGAGAATTAAGCATATTTTCATTGCTTCATTACTAAAACTAATGAAGAGACCAAAAAAAGAGACACCCTTGTCTCTTCTGCAAGGCAATTTATGTGAATTAGCACGTGAATTCCATGTAATAATAAAACCTGTCAAGCACATTACATATCCCAATCCGTAAAATGCTTGTTATGCTTGGCACCTCTCTCTGGGGTGGGCAAAAAGGAGCGAGGAACCCTGAGTCTCGGGCACAGCTCCCTCCACCCTCCCGCTACCGCTGGTGGGCAGCGAGCTCACAGGCGAGGCAGGGACCAGCAGCCCCGCACACCGACCCCAGCCTCGGATCCAGGGGACCGGGACACGGGGTGGGGAAGGCGGCGCCACAACAGAACCAAGCCGGGACCCCGGACCACCCGCTCCCCCACCACCCGGGCACGCAGCGCCGCTCACCCGTGGGGATGCCCAGCTGCTTGGAGCCTCGGCCGAAGCCCCGCACCACCTCGCCGCGGCAGAAGTACGGCAGGTGCCTCATGACGCCGCCGGTTCGCGGCTCGGGCTGCGCGTCCGACGAAGCCGTCGAGGCAATGCCTGCACCCTGGGGACCAGCCGAGGACACGGACGGAGCTCGCCCGGCGTGTCGGCGGACCTCGGGTTGGTGGGGTCGGTCCTCGCACAGCCGACCCAGCAGAAGGAGCGGGGGAACTACTCAAATAGAATCTCCGTCCCCCCAGCAGCGGCGGCGGCGGCGGAAGTAACTCCGGCCGCCGGGCGACCAGCGTGGGGTGGACCCTGAGCTCACGGTAGCGTCACGGGGCGGAGCACACCGAAGGGCCAATGAACTCAGGCTACGCGACCTCCGTAGCCCCGCCCCAGGCGTGGGCCAGCCCCCCAGCCGAAGGCTCGAACCGGAGCACCGGGTCGTGGCCGTGCGTCGCCTCAGCCGACCTTCGGCCCCTACCCTGGTGTGGGGACCGCGGCGGAAATCCCTAGTGGGGGTGAGGGAGGTCCAAAGACTGTCTCCTCGCAGCCGCAGTGCTTCATTTCCCCATCCTTGTTTTCATTACAGTCTTGATACCAAAGCGTTCTTAAGCTCCTAGGCAACCGCAAGGTTGATGGTTAATATTTTCCCCTCTTGTAACATCCGGCTCAAAGATCATTTCTCCATAAGTACTTTTCCTGAAAACCCAATCCAAGATTTGAAGTTAGATCAGTTAAGCTTTAGGCGATCAGGCTTTTACCTTAACCGTTCTAACTCCAGTATCTCCTGGAAGCACGCAGCCTTTGAAGAGGAAAGACCTTGCATAACCCCTTTTCTGGGCGTCTCCCTCCTTGAGGCTAGGATAGAACTAGTTTCTTAGCAAGGGGGGGGGGGGGGGGGGGGGGGGGGGCGGGGTATGGCTGTTTTGAGCTCAGGCTAGGACTCAAAGCGACTCTACAAACAACATCTGAACTGCGACATCCCAAACATGCACAGGCCCCTTGCTGCAGCGAAGTGTCAGTCCATCTTGTTGGACGACATCTACTCTTTATTTAACACTCCACCTTTCCCTGCACCATGACTTTTCCAACTCTCCTGACCACCTGCCCAAAGTCTATGAGGCGAAGATTCACCATCCTTGCATCTTCCTGCTTGTACTTCCTACAACACAGGCTTGGTTTTTTTTTTTTGACAGTCCATAGGATATTCAATATTCTCCAACACCACAATTCAAAGGTATGGATTATTCAGTCATCCCTAGTCATTGTCCCTCTTTTGCATAGAAAGCAATTGAAAACGCATGGCGTGGAGTAGTTTCAAATTGTTGGCCTCTGGTAATTTCCTAGGCATCAGATAAAATGGCTTATCTTTGTCCCCAGTCATTGGTGTTCAAACTGCCGGAGCATTTGGGTTAGGGGCACAGCTCGCTACAAATTTAGCCTGCTCCTTTTCCAGTGGAATTTGTTCAAGTTCTGGGCCAATGTAACCTTTTGGAAATGCATTGGTGGGAATTTCAAAGCACAGAGCTCTAGGCAGGTTCACAATTTCCGGTCTGGAAGCAGTAGTGGAGATCTGAACTGTTGCCACCTAGAACTCAGAACAGAACCAGACCAAGATCCACTGCCATCATTGTGACTCGTCAGTTTCTGAGGATAGAAATCTTTAAGGGAGGAGACTACCCGTCTTGGAATCCAACTGAGAAGACCTATAACATGCTATGCCACCGAAACAGAACAGGGCTGGGAAAAAGTTTAACCTCTAAATTTTTTAAAGTAAATTCATGAGCTTTTAAACTCTTAACAGAAAGAGTGGCACACAGCCTTTGAGTTAGTAGAGCAACAACACAGATTGCATCTCCAATCTAAAACCAACTTGATATAATAAAAATATAAGCCAAATTGTTTTTCTTCTTGCTAGGTGCCATCAAGTCAGCTATGACATGTGATGACCCTAGGGGCAACAGATCTGAACCTTGTCCTAAGCTGTGTCATTCTCACTTACCTGATATGCTGAAGCCCATTGTGACACTTACTTGTGTCTGTCTTTTTGAGAGGAGTCATCTTTTTCTCTGACATTTGGCCTTTTCCAGCATGATGTCTTTTCCTAAGCACTGCCAGCTCCTGACAGCATACTCAAAGTTTTAATATCTTTGCCTCTAAGAAGCACCCTATTTGTACTATTTATAAGACAGACAGACTTGTTCTTTCGGCGGTCCATGGGATATTCAGTATTCATGTCCAACACCACAATTCAAAGGCATCAGTTCCTTTTTTGTCTTCCTTACTCACTGTCCAGCTTTCACTTGCATTGTTGTTGTGTACCTTAGAGTCAGAACCAACCCAGAGCTAATCCTCCAAGCAGATTTTCAGAGGCATCTAATTGCACAAGAGGGATTGCCCATCCTTCTTCAGTGGAGCAGCTGGTGGATTCAAAAGTGTGCCTTTGGGATAGCAGTTCAGCTTCTTGTCAACAGGCCACCAGAGCTCTGAAAAATACCATGGCTTGGATCAGTCACGCTTTAGCCTTTAAACTGACACTACATTGCTCTTTGGCACTTTGGAGAGATCCTTGGTGGCAGATTTCCCCAGTGTAACCCATCATTTGATTACATGACTGCTAATACCATGGGCCACCACTCGTCTGTGACTTTGCCATACTGTGGTGGTAGGTGTGTTGCTTTGATGCTGGAAGCTCTTGCCACCAGTATGTCAAATACTAGCAGGGATCATGCATGGTGGACAGGTTTCAGCAGAGCTCCCAGACTAAGAAGCAGAACTGGTCATCTACTTCTGAAACAATAGGCCTTCAAAAACTATGGATAATGGAAGAACATTGTTGGATATATAGTGCTGGAAGATGACTCTCTCTGGTTGGAAAGAACTCAAAATGCAACAAGGGAAGAGCTACCTCCTCAAGTAGAGTTTACTGAAATAACTCGGATGGAATAATGCTGTCACCCAGTGAAAGGCCTTCATTTGCTGATGTGGCAAGACTCAAAATGAGGAGAAATACCTACATGCACCCAAAAATAATTGGAATATAGAATGTAGGTAGCATGAAACTAGGAGAACTGGAACTTGTCAATAATGGAGTGGAACACATAAGGATGAGCACAAGTGAGCTGATATAGGCTGACACTGGCCACTTTGGATTAGACAACTGAATGATCTACAATTCCAAAAATAACAAGTTGAAGGGGACTACTATGGCATTCATACCGTTTCAGTCTACATGCAGAACAGATCATTTGGTAAGCAGGGCTTTATGAGGTGGAATGTGGCATCAGGATTGGAGGAGGACCCATCGACAACCTAAGTTTATGCAGATGAAACAACCTTACTTGCTGAAAGTGAGGAGGACCTGAAGCACTTGCTGCAAAAGGTCAATTACTGTAGTATGGATTGAAGCTCAACATCAAGAACAAAGATTCTCACTACTCGGCCAATTGGCAGCATCTTGATGGATGGAGAAGAGATTGAGGTTATTAACAGTTACAGCTCCACAATCAACATTTTTGGCACCAGCAACCAAAAAACAAAAAGATTAATTGCATTAGGTAAATATGCTGTCTGGGACCGTTCCAGAGTAATGAGAAGCAACAATGTCAGTCTAGAGATCAAGGAGTACCTGATCTAGGCCATGGTCTTTGCAATTACTTGCTACACATTAGAGAGCTGGATAATGACTAAGAATGACAGAAAAAGAATGGATGCCTGTCAGTTTTGCTGCTGGAGAAGAGTATTGAACATACCCTGGACTGCCGAGAAAACAAATAGGTCTGTATTGGAGAGAGTGAAACCAAGTTTCTCCTTGAAGGCTAGGATTTTGAAGCTCTCTCTGACTTTCTTTGGGCATATTACCAGGAGAGACTAATCCTTAGAGAAGGACATCATAGTTGGAAGGGTGAAGGGACAGCACAGGAGAGGAAGACTCTGAATGAGATGGATTGATACTGTCACTAGGGCAATGGTGGAGGTGTATCAGAGGCAGTGAGACTGGCTCAGGACAGGACAGGCTTCAGAACTATCATACGCAGGGCCACTATGAGTTGAAGGTGATTCGACAGCACATAAAAACAACAGAATGACTTTCATAATTAAAAAAGAGCATTTCAAGATCTATCCTGAAGTACAATGCTGTCAGTGATGGAATATTATCCACACACATACAAGGATGTCCTATTAATACAACCATTATTCAAATATAGGCACCAACCACAAAAACCAAAGATGAAGAAATTGTGAATTTATGCCAACTTCTGCAGTCTGAGATTGATCAAATATGCAATCGAGATGCACTAAAAAAATTGATAACTGAAATGTGAAAGTTAGAAACAAAGAAGAAGGAGTGGTAATTGGAAAACATGGACTTGATGACAAAAACGAGGCTGGGATTGTATGATAAAATTTGGTAAAATGAATGATTTTACATTAAAAAGAGACATAAATTGAGGCTATCTACATGGACTTCACCTGATGGACTACATAGGACTCAGATTAACTACATCTGCGAAAAGAGATGTTGAAGAAGTTCATTATTAGCAGTCAAAACTAGACCAGGAGCTGACTATGAAACAGACCATCAGCTACTCATATGCACATTCAAATTGAAGTTGAAGAAAATCAATGTAGGTCCACATGAGATAAAATATAACCTTGAGGGTATCCCAACTAAATTTAAAAACCATCTCAATAACAGAGCTGATATAGTGAAACACTAATTAATGACCAGACAAGTTATGAGATGACACCAAGGACATCCTTGAAAAAAGCAAAGTATCATGACAGTGACAGGGAAGGGAAAAAACACAACAAAGATGGTTATCAGAAGAGACTGAATCTTGAATCAGAACAAAAGGAAGCAAAAAAATGAGGAAAGAATGCTGAGATAAGAGAGGGAACAAAAGATTGTAAAGGGATGTGGACTGGATCAGACACACCATAGTCTCTAAGCTGACATCATTATTTCCCAGTACTCTGGAGAGGTCCCTGACAGCAGATTTACCTAATGCAATTGTCTTCTGTTTTCCTGACTGCTGGTGCCAAGAGTGTTGACTGTGGAGCTGAGCAAGCTGT